CCCCCCCAAGTTGGAGGTGGTGAAAACACTGCCAACTTGCCTTAAACACTAGAGTGCTTGATGCATGTGAGAGCTTTAGTAAGGATATCTGCGAGTTGATGATCAGTAGCAATATGATGCAAAGAGATGAGGCCCTTGTAGCTGTTTTCTCACAAAATGGCAATCAACTTCGATGTGTTTTGTACGTTATGAAATATGTTAGATAGTTATGTACATAATATGAATTAGTCCTAGTCCCACATAGAATAGGAGTATTATATGTATTGTATAAATAGGGTTCATTGTATTATAATTAAACAGAATATCAATAATAGATTTTTCTCCCGTGCATTCTCACATGGTATCAGAGCAATAGTGAGAGATTTATCGCTGTGCATAAATTCCAGCGACTCCGGGAAGAAAAACCAGTCAACCAGAAGTCTTTTTCCGGCAAACACAAGTCTGCCGCAAGTAAAAAGCCACTTTTCGTCAGTGTTGTGCAAAAACCAACACCACCACGAAATAGATCGGCCTCTGGCGACCAACCCATAAAAAAATCTCCATCAGATGACCCTCCACGCGCTGCCACGCGCCGCCGGAAGAAAATTTTCTGGCGAAGTTCCGACGTCACGCGCCGGCACATGGGCCACCTTCCGGCCATTTTTTGGCGGCGACTCTTCAAAACAGATTTTTCTCCCCTGCATTCTCACAAAATACAGGATTCTTAGCTATGTGTAGGGCTGACAAACTGTAACAAAACACTGTAATTGGATGAATTGAAGGAACTCTCAATTCAGTCAGTAGTCTACTCAACCAGACCAGTTCACCAACCACTTTCCTAAGCGACTTGTACTCTGCTTCTGTTGAGGATAATGAAACAACCTCCAGCCTTTTAGATATACAGCTGAAAGGACTACTTCCTAATAAACAATGTAACCACTCACATACCTTCTTGAGTCTGGGCAGGAAGCCCAATCAGAATCACAAAATGCTCTAACATACCAGTCTGCAGTGTTGGACATGAAAACTCCCAAAGTAGGATCACCCTTGAGATATCTCAGTAGGTGATAAGCAGCCTTCTGGTGAAGTTCCCTAGGGTCTTGCATGAATTGGCTCAAGTGTTACACTCCAAAGGCTATATTAAGTCTTGTGTTGGTAAGGAAGTTTAATTTGCCTATCAGCTTTCTGTAGGAGGTGGGATCCTCCAATGGTTTGCCCTCCTTGGCCTTTAACTTTTCATTAGGATCAAGTGGAGAACTCAAAGCACTATACTCCAAACAGTTGTACTCTTTCAATAAATCTAAAACAAACTTCTTTTGAGAGATAATCACACCATCGGGCTTGTATAGGACTTACAGACCTAAGAAGTAATGCAGGTTGCCTAAGTCCTTTATCTTAAACTTATCATGAAGGAAAGCTTTCAACTGACTTATTTCCTCCTGATCTGTACCTGTGACCAAGACATCATCTACATACACTGCCACATAAACCAATGAATCTCCTTGCTGCTTGTAAAATAATGAATAGTCATTCATAGAGTGGTTGAAACCTTTGGAGCACAATGCCTCAGTTAACTTCTCATACCACTGTCTACTGCCTACTTGCTTGCTTCACATCATATAGAGATTTATTTAACTTGCAAACTAGAGATCTATCTTTCATCATGAGACCTGGTGGAATCTGCATATATACTTCCTCATGCAAATCTCCATGGAGAAAAGTATTGTTTACATCCAATTGGAACATTGTCCAGTTATTCTTTACGGCAACTGCAATAAGTGTTATCACTGTAGTCATCTTTACTACTAGAGAGAATGTCTCTGTGAAGTCTACACCCTCATGTTGAGTATAACCTTTCACAACCACCTGGCTTTGAACCTTTCTATAGTACCATCAGACCTGTGCTTTACTTTGTAGACCCATCTACAACCTATTGCTTTCTTATCAGGAGGGAATGGTACTAGATTCCAGGTGTTGTTAGCATAGAGTGCCTCAAATTCCTGGACCATGGTTGCTTGCCAAGCAGGACTAACAACAGCTTCCTCAAAGGAAGATGGTTCACTATCATTGCAAATACTACTTACCAAAGCCTGACTGTTAGGAGCTATTGATTCAGGGGCTATGTGGTGATGATTAGAAAACAAAGTGTTAAGAGAGAATGAGTGCTTATCAGGATTGCTTGTACATAGTCTTTTAGATAGGTAAGAGTTTTGTGTTCCCTTTGTGATCTTCTTAAAGGCTCATAAGAGTGATGTACTGGAGGAGAGGGTGCAGAAGTATCAAGAGGGGAAGTTGAAAAAGGAGGTGAAGAAGGAGAAGAAGATACAGAATCAATAGAATGAGATGATCTTATATATGAAGGGTTAGATGATGAGTCATTAGTGGACACACTGGTAACACTGTCATTACTAGCAATCACAAGTTCATCAGAAGAAATAACATCAAAGAATGTAGGGAAAGACACAGTCATAGACTTAGAACAGATGTCAAATGGAAAGATAAACTCATGGAACATTTTGTCTCTGGTAATGTGAATTTTCCTTGTTGACAAATCCAGAACTTTGTAGCCTTTCACACCAAAGTGATAGCCCAAAAAGACATGTGGAACTGTTCTTGGCTCAAATTTATTTCTGTGGATCTTAGGTGTTGTAGGGAAACATAAACAACCAAAGCTTCTTAGCTGTGTATAGTCTGGTTTCTTACCATATAAGACTTCAAAGGGAGACTTGTTTTTGAGATATGTAGTAGGTAACATGTTTATAATGTGAGTGGCTGTGAGAACACATTCCCTCAATACTTCAAGGGTAGTTTAGACTGAAAAAGTAGGGCCCTGGCTGTTTCAAGAAGGTATCTGTGTTTCCTCTCCGCCACTTCATTTTGTTGTGGTGTGTAGGGACAAGTTCTTTGGTGGACAATTCCTTTTGACTGAAAGAAAACAGTGGCTTCAAGATTGTTAAATTCCAATCCATTGTCAGATCTGATGGACTTGATATTGGTTTTGAACTGGTTTTCAACTAAGGAGATGAAGGCCTTGATTGCCTGTAGTGCATTGCTTTTGCATGCCAGTAACATAGTCCAAGTAGTTCTGCTATAGTCATCTACTATAGTGATGAAGTATCTATATTTGTCATGTGTATGTTCATGATAAGATCCCCAGTCTGCATGGAATAATTCAAAAAATTTGGAAGAAGTACTGACTCTTTAGGGAAAGGGCAGTCTGGTTTGTCTGGCCATGGGGCAGATTGTGCATATAAAAGGTTGTTTAGGAGAGAAATCAGCAGGTATAGTGGAAATACCTTTCATCTTTACAAATGGCACATGTCCGAGCCTATTGTGCCATAAGAGGTTCACATTGTTGTCCTTATAGACACAAGAATTAGAAACAGAATAGGAAATATCAACATTCAAAGATGAAGTATTAACAGTTGAAAGGGAAAGGTTCTGCATTTGATTGAGGTGACTTATTTACAAGTGAAGGTGAATGACATTGCAGATTATTCAAATAGGAACTATTTACATCACAACAGTGATCAGAAACTGCAGTGAAAGAGTTGTTTTTTCTCAAGCACTTGGAGCAAAGCAGGTACAAGCCATCTCTTACTCTACCAATCTGCAGAGGCCTCTTCACTGAAGGGGCCTGTAGAAGACAAGTATCGTCAGTAAAAGATGCCATGCCTTTAAGATGTTTGGTTAACCAATAGACTGACACAAGATTGAATTTGAAAGAGGGAACTAAAAGGACTTTGTACAGGACTATTTTTTATGTGAAAACAACATGACCAATCTCAGATATTTTGACTTTGTAGCCATTAGGCATGACTACTAGGAGAGGGTATGGTAATATCTTGATGTTAGACAGTAAAGATCTATTAAAAGTCATGTGATTGGAAGCCCATGAATCTAGTATCCATGTATCAGTTTTGGATTCAAATCATTTGTATGAAAGTTTGCCAAAATCAATGGATGAAGTACATATTATCATACCTACAAAGTTGACAGCATTGACATTAGAGGAATTTGAACTTCCTAGGGATCTCCCAGCATCTCCATTTCCCACATGAAACTGTTGAAGTAGGCTCACAAGTTGCCCATACTATTCTTCAGTCAGGCTCACATTCCTTCCATCATCTTGGGTTATGTTTTCATTTTCCTTAGTGATCAAAGCTTCATTTGAGGCTAATTGTACACTTGCAACTACTCTTTTGCCTTTATTGTATCTAGAGTTTTGGCCATGGTTTTGGCCATTTGGGAAATACCTGGGAGTGAAGTTTTGGCCAGAATTCTGACCATTCTGTGGGTAACCATGTAGCTTGTAACAACTTTCCTTACTATGCCCTGACTTCTTGCAGAAATCACATATGAGTCGAGCTCTAGGATTGCGATTGTAATTGTTATTTGCCGGGAAATTTGTCTTGAATGAACCTTGTCCTGATGCACTCACATACAGTGAGGTTGACTCAATGGACAATTGATTGGTTGGCCTAATCTCTCTTTGTTTCTCATCTTGAACTAGGAGTGAAAATGTTTGTGCTAGGCTTGGCAATGGGTTCATCATAAGTATGATGTCTCGAACTACAGTGTAAACCTCGTTCAATCCCATAAGAAATTGTATCAGTCTCCTATCTTGCTCAGCTATGTACATACTCTTCTTTGCACCACAATTACAGTCACAACTACATTGAGTCCTCTTGTTCAGAGTAGTGAGTTCCTCCCAGAGTTTCTTCAACTTAGTATAATAGGCAGTAATATCAAGAGTTCCTTGATAAAGGTCGTTGATTTCCATCTGAATTTGATACAGTCTAGCTCCATTGGTTTGTTCATAACGATCCTCCAATTCCTTCCAAAGCTCAACAGCATCATTCGCATATTCTACACTGTCTGCAATTTCCTTAGAAAGTGAATTCAGAATCCAAGACGTCACCATATTATCACATCACTCCCATTGGCGAAACTGTGGTGACAGAGGATCTGGTTGTTTGCACTCGCCACTTGTGAAACCTAATTTGTTCTTCACATACAACCCCCTCAATACACTACTCCTCCAAGACCTGTACCCTATTCCGTCAAAAGCAGTTGAAATGAGCATAGCTCTAGGATTGTCGGATGGATGAAGATACAGAGGATCACTTGGATCGATCCCTATGCTTGGCGCAGTAACAGTAGCAGTAGTTTCCACTCCAGTCGAATTCTCATGGTCGACAACAGCCATGATTGAGTGAAATTAATGAAGAAAAACAGAGGAATTTCAATTATCGCAATCGGCAATTCACTAACATGCAACCGAAAAACCCCAAAATTAGGGCAAAGATCGAAATCTAACAGAATCGAACAACAAGATGAATCAAAAAATGAAGACGCAGGGAAAGATAATGTGCGAGATTAACCTCGCTCTGATACCATGATAAAATGGACCTTGGGCCTAACTCAACCCCAAAAGCTAGCTTATGAGGTGAAGGTTGCCCAAGATCATATAAGGAGACCAAGACACCCATTACCCACCAATGTGGGACACAACTCAACACCCTTCCTCACGCCCAGGCCTGCAAACTGGAGCGTGAACAACATAAATAGGGGCCCAACATCGGTAACAATAAATTGGGATGGGTCTGGCTCTGATACCATGTCAAGATCGACACTGAGAATCAGTAGGAACGAGTTGAGCTCCACCATACCTGCAACGGTGGAGTGGTGAAGCTTCTAGAACTCAACGTGAGAGAAGGGAAGAAGAGAGAGTGAAATTGATGAAATGAAGCTTAAGCTTTCATTGATATCAGTACACAGTATATATACACACGCTGCCAGCTGGCACTAAAACTATTACACTAACTACTAAGTAACCGACATAACTAACTATAACATTCCCTAACTGATTATTAAATAATATATCTCAATACGATCAAACTAGACGAGTAATTCAAAATGTACATCCTTGGAGACTTAAATTTCCCTATTTGTATTCAGCATAAATGAAACCGGTTCCCACCATTTAAGATGGATTTTCTATTGTTTTTATTTAATTTCATAAATTAGTAATCATAGGCAGAGGAACCTTACCACAAAGGGCTCGCTCGACTCCTGAGTTGTGTTGTTACGTCTGTCCATATCATAAACCCACTGCTAATAAAGCAAACAAATAAAATAAAAGTTATCAACAAAATTTAAGTAAAAAACATGAAAACACATCTTCAATGAACAAAATCTCTTAGGATGTGAGATTAAAAATTTGAAATACATCAAACAATACCTAAAAAACAAAAATTCGGAGTATATTAACAAAAAACATGTACCTTTAATCTGCAAAAGAGATTGAATTATGCTTAGGTAATTTTAAGATTCTGGAAAAAAATTAATTGTTTTTGCCAACAAAATAAAAATTATAAAGAGGAGGTTCGAGAATGATGGAGAAAGGGTAAATTGCTTAATTGCAAAGCAATGCCAAAGTTAACGGACACTTCATGGAGAAGAGGAAGACGACTAGAAATCACTAGAACGACGTCGTAGCAAAACTTACGTGCGAAGGATAATCGATTAAATGTGAAAGAAAATGACGGTTGACGGTTAGAATTAGCGGAATAAAGATTGGGCACCGCCCTACGTATTTGGGCTGGGGCCCATAGCAACCGTTGTTGGACTAGTCTTGAAATCAATCTATTGGATCTTGATCCAAAAAGAATTTTGAGTTTTGATATAGATTTTTTCCTAAAAGGGTAAATAAATATGTTCACACCAGTAGTGGACAAATTTAATTCCTTTTTCAATAAATGTTCTTTCATTTGCCATGTAACATTCTTTCATAGTTCCAACAATAATTAAAATTGCATGAGTTGTGAACTCATGTCTTTCTTATTTTAACTTCATATTCGGAAAGGGAAAAAAAGTGAAACATTTTTGTTCTGTCTAAAGACAGTACAAAGAAAAGGAACAACCTAAATATCTTAAATCAAAGGTAAACAGACTCATAACATGACATTTAGAGACTCCTAAGGAGAATGCCTTCAAAAGTGATTCCAGGACCAAATGCTAAAGCAAGTCCCCATTCTTCACCTTCATCTTTCTTATTCTTCAACTCTTCCCTCATATACTCCATCACATAGAAAATAGTATTGCTACTCACATTTCCAAAATCCATCAATGCCCTTCTGCTACAATCCAGTTTCTCACTTTGCAACTTCAGTGTGTTCTCCAATCTGTTAAGTATAGCCGGTCCGCCCGGATGAACAGCCCAGAACAAGTCATTGTATTTAGTTTCCTTCAAATCAGCCTTAGCCATAAGTTTCTTGCAAAATTCCTCAATGTTGTCCTGTATTTTCTCAGGCAGGTCCCTTCCTAATTTGAAGTTTATCCCTTCTTCAGTAAGTCGCCCATCGATAACATTATTTGTCCCTGGCAAGAATTGCTGAGTTGCAAAATTCAATTCCATGAAAGGAGATTCTTTTCCTACAATTGGTTCAGTTCCAATAATAACAGCAGCAGCTCCATCTCCGAAAAGTGCAGCACCAACAAGATCATATGGCCTGGCATTATTAGGTGGCCTAAAACCAAGAATTGTGGTCTCAGAAGTTGTCAATAGAACTCTGCTCCCTGGATTGTTTTCAGCTATATCTTTAGCAACTCTAAGGCCTGTGACACCACCATAGCAGCCCAAGAAATACAGCATTACGCGTCCAATGTCATTCCTCAATCCAAGCTCAGTTGCAAGGTAAAGATCACCTCCTGGTAAACGTATTTCACTTGAGGAAACATACACAATGTGTGTGATTTCCTCTGCTGATCTTCCCCATTCCTTAATGCAAGCTTGGCTTGCTTGTTTTGCCATTTCCACAACTGCTGGATTTGCAATTTCTAGCCTTTGTCTGATTGTTGGTGTGCCTTCAGTTGCTAGTTCTGGATACTTGTCCAAGATTTCCTTTGACATCACTGTATATCTGGTCTTCACAGTAGTAGTTTTACCTACATACAAATAATAAAAACAGAAAAACATGAAAAAGTTACTAAATATGTTTAAAAGAATTTAACTTATATAAACTAACAGAACAGTCAAAAAAGTTTTTTACACTATCGGATCATCAAAAAATAACTACATGTAATCGTCCAACAAAAGTTGGACTTGTCACGTGGAAAATTAGACTTTTTACGTGCTATAACATGTTAAAATACGCTGACAAGTGTAAAAACAATCTATATATTGACGATGTGTACAAGTTAAATTCATGAAAAAGGCAAAGGATTATAAGCATGAAACATTAATGGAAGTAATTTTTGCTTACAAAGGCGCTCCAACTTCTCCTTAATAGCCAAATCTTGACAGTTGGTATCGCGAATGTAGCCTTCAACCAAGCAATCCTGAGGGACAAGTTGTGCAGGGAAGGCTTTGCCCATGGCAAGAATGGTGGCTTTTCCTGGAGTAGGAAGCCGCGTCGATGGTTGGAAAAAGTACTTGGATGCACCATTAATGTTCTTGCCGTTCTGTGACATATTGGCTAAATGTGGAAGCTAAGAGTATGAGACTTAAGATTGCTGTTGTCTGATGAAATCTTAGTATGAGATTGTTTCAAAACATGTTGCATCAAATATAAATGGAGAGCTAAGTCTGTTGTTGGAGAAAGGTTGGTATAATTGTGTTAGAGAACTTCTGGCATGACAAATTATAAAACTAGTGCATGCTTTAACGGTGTTGCAGATTTTAATATATTATGATTGAGTTGTTGAGGCTTTTTTGTGTGAAAGTATAAATAAAACGAAAGCAATCTTTTCCTTTTTTTTCACTTCCTTTTTATTGATCTTATTTTTTAGTTTGTTTTGTGCGCAGGGGAGGGGGCATTTCCAATGCACCAACTAGCTGCACCATTAGTCATTGTTCAAATGTTAATTCTATAAATGTGCTGCGTTTGCCTTCTTATTTTTCATTGCTAAAATGTTGTTGTTCTCATGATATATCCGCTTGAAAATACATATTACAGATATATGATTTGCACTCCTAATATTCAGAAAAACGCTGAAAATATTTAATAAAAAATTTTTGATCTTCAAATAATTACAGTGTCACTTAAAAAAAAGTAAAGCAGATATTCATTTAAACATACTGTGTTTTTTGACAAACTTTACTATCATGGAGTTTGCTCTCCAGATTTTTGATAAGAACATGTATACCCATTGAATCGCAATAATGTAGTAATTTGTTTTGTTCCTCATCACTTAGTACTTTCTTTTGCCAGTTACTTTCTCCAAATATATTTACTAATGTGAATTGGTTGGCTAGGAGTAAATATTGCCCAGTGCCTTGCAATCACTTTTGCAAACCCTTTAGTTGAAATCTCATGACTTATGAGCCATTCTTTCTTTTCCGGGTTTACTTGCATTCCTTAGGTAAATAAAATACTTTCTTTTCTCTGGTTAACACTGATAATCTAAAAGAGAATTCTCTTACTTTAATCTTTTCTTCTATTTCCTCAAAAATATTATTCTTTTTTTTTTTTGATAGTTTTGATATGTACAAATTATCACACCCTTTTTTACCCCAAAAAGATATATGTTTATGGATTGTTGTAGGATAAAGAGTTTTTTTAATTAAAGTGACAAATTTGAGTAAGGATTATTTTATTTACAGAATCACCACTTGGATTGATTTTTGGGTGTTCCGAGTCACCTTTTGTTTGAATCCCTAGTCAAAGAAAGGTTGACTCTATTTATTATTGGTCTGCGAAAACATGAGACTGGGTAAGAAATTCTGTTGACCGGAGAAAAGGTGTGAGGCACTCCCCGAATCCCCTGGTTCTAGCACAGTCGCTTTATTGACTACAACTTGGCTTAAATTAATTTTGGGCAAACTGTGCTTTATTTGATTTTCATATTTTACTTATCCGCTTTTATTTCTTGATTATTAGAATTATTAAAGAATGATTTGGATAATATTACATTGTCATAACCATGCTACGCAAGCGAATGCGTGATAGAAAATAAAATAAATTAATTTATCATAATCGTGCCTCGCAAAGCGGATCCGAAATCATGACAATCAATTATTTGTAGTACATTTGAGAAATTACTACACTTATGCTTGAGAAAATTAGTTTAAGAAAATATTAAATGTCACTATCGCGCTACGCAAACGAATTCGCGATTATAGCAAGGGATTAATTAAATTAGAAATTAATTAAAGCTATTGGATATGGTATGAGATTATTGAATTAATTTATTGAAAGTTAAACATTACGCTACGCAAGCGAATCCGTGAATAAAGAAGTTAAAGCGCGCCTACTAATTGCTTAGCGCTTGAATTAATTAATTAAGAGGTGATTAAATTATCGCTTTATTTTAATTATAAAGGAAAAGAAATCTAATTTATTGAAATTAATTGATGGAAACATTACACTTGAAAGCTCGGTCCAACTTGTTATATTAAAGAATGGACAGCTTTTTTTATCAAAAGAAAATATACCAACTCTTATTGGTATGGGAAAAGTACAGAAATAGTCAGTTTAAATTCAAACTTACCAACCTCTAGCCCAAAATTAGACACTTATCAAAAGTAGCCAAAAATTAGAGATACACCCAAGGGAGGATTCTTCCATCCGAGAATCACGCTAAAGATCTTTCTTCCTTCCCTGTTTTTCCAGCGTATCAATTTCACAGAGACCTACATTCTGTAAATCACCACATTCTCTCCCAAATAATTCTCAAGAAGAGCTCCAAATTTCACTCAAAAATCGATCAATTTTACAGTAGAAGCAACAATTTTCATTCGCAATTTCTCTGTAGATACACCTTTGATGAAGGAACTACGAACTACAATCAAAATCAATCAAGGAATAGTGAGTTTTGACCTAATTTCAGGCACTTCAATGGCAAATTTACCAATTTTTATTCAGTATGGTGGCCGATGGAATGTTGACAACAGTTTTTTAGATTACAATGTTGATGTTGTAATAGTTACTCCAAATATAAGTTTCGAAGATTTTGTAGACGTGATTTCGAAACAACTTATGATAGATACTTCATTGAATGTTATTGACAAATACATTGTCCAAAACGGTTCTCCACCAATAGTGATACACAATAATATGGGTATATGTGTATATCTTGAGCTGAAAAAAAGCTCGAAATTTACAATATATTCTATTTTTATAACATCAAGTGAAAAGGATATGGATATGATTTGCTACAATTCAAATTCTGTTGTGATTTTCTCAGAGTGTGCACAAGGCTCAGTTATACAGGAGAGATAGCGATACAATTAATATGATTGAGTTTTGGGGATGGAGAAGACTAGCAGGATACAGAATCTGATGAAAATACGATAATAACTGAGGTCAAATTTATAAAGACAAGGCTACGATAGTCACAGTCATGAAGCACTTGGAAGTAAAGGAAACATTCCAGTTTAAGGTGCATAGATCAAGTGAAAGCAGGTATCAAAATATTTATTGTATAATTATGTATCTCAATGTATATCGTAGTTGATGTTAGAAGCATAATTATGCAGAAAATAAGTTGTTGCTTGTAAGTCTGTGGTCGTACGCTTTTAAGTTATGGTTGTCACCGTATAGTACTGTATAGTCGTTGTTTTTTTCATCTAGTATTATTGATGGTAGTGTGTATCACTATATATCATTGTATTTCATGTCACTTTGTTTATTGATGGAAAAGTTTATATCCTTGTAGTAGGTACTGCCTAGTGTACATCAACAATAACTGCGATTGGTGTTTTAAATCTTCGAGCCTGAAAAAAGCAAAACTTTTCAAGGTCAGAAATTTCAGCAAACTACACTCATGCCCGTTGAAGGACAGATCTTACGCACAACGTCAAGCTACTGCAAAACTCATCGGTAGTCTTCTGATAGACAAGTATAAAGACCCAAAAATAATATACACTCTTAATGACATAATTGGAGACATGAACAAGCAATATGGTCTTTAAATGACATATATGCAAGCATGGAGATCGAAGGAATATGCAGTTCAACTACTGAGAGGGAACCCAAGCGAATCATATGAAAAACTACCAAGCTTCTTTTATATGCTGGTTCTTACAAATCCTATGTCGGTGGTAAGTTTGAAAAAAAAAATAGAGGAAGACATGTTCATGTATGCTTTCGTTGTACTATATCCGTCCATAAAAGGATGGCAGTATTGCAAACCGGTTATTGTTGTAAATGGAACCTCTCTTAAATCGACATACAAAGGAACATTATTAATAGCATCCACACAAGATCCAACAGGTAAAAATAAGAGTAATATATATATATACACACACACCTCATTATTCATGTATATACTCAAATATGTTTGTATGATTCAATTTATTAGGTAGTATTCTACCACCCGTATATGCCATAGTAGATTTAGAGAATAATGCTTCATGGGAGTGGTTTTTCACGAGGTTCAAGGATGCATTTGGGGAAAGGGAGGGAATGTGCATAGTCTCGGACAGGCATGAAGGCATTGAAAATGCAACGGCAATATTGTATCCACAAGTACCTCATTGTGTCTGCATATGGAATCTATGGAATAATGTAAAGAAATTACAAGAAAAACCATTTGCAGCTCAAAGATATATTCTTTGCTATGACCAAAGCATACACAGTTGAGAAGTTTTATTACCACATGGCAGAGGTAGAGAGAATTGATAAGAGGGTCAAAGATTACTTAATCAACGTTGGGTATGAAAGATAGTCTAGAGCACATTCCACTATCAACAGAACATTGACAATGACTTCAAACATTGCGGAGTCAGTCAATATAGCACTCAAGGTTGTTAGGGAACTACCAGTACTACCTTTTCTAGAGTACATAAGGCAATTGATCGGACGGTGGAACGTTACAAACCAAAAGAATGCAATAGAGTCATTTGCTGATCTTGGAAAAAAATATAATACAACGTTGATGGACAATCTCGAATTATCGCATCGGATGAAGGTATGACTAGAATATGTAGATACTTGTGCATATAATATGTAATCATGTCGAATTTAACGGATCTGTTATATCTTGAACTCTTTATGTGATTTTGTTAAACTTGTGTCCACCTGCACAGCACAGGGAGACCAAATTGATTAAAGCTAACGTTTTTTAATATTCATTGTTTGCACAAAAGCAATATTATAGTTGTTCAAGTAATGAAGGGTCTTATCTCTGTTACCCGAGACTTCAGGTTTTTTGTTTCTTTTCAACGCTAGTTGGTCTACCTCTATTCTCTATTTCTTCTGGGGCATGCAAGAAATTAGTCATTATGTAAGCAAATTTTTCAACTTTTAGGCGACTACCAGCATGTATATAAGGCTTTCAATTTAACATAGCATCTATGCCTACCCCGCTACTAAAATATTGGTTGGTTTGACATGATAGTAAGCTATTTTAAATCTTGTAGGCTCTCCAGTATATGTGTTTTGAAGGCATCTACTTTATCACCACTAATGATAGTTGATAAATTTTATATGTGACCCCTTCGACAAGTTACTTATATTCAGTACTAGACAAGGGTAAGCAGAGAATAATGTTCCTAAAAGATTGAACTTGGAGCTGTAGAAGGCTTCAGTTGGATGATCTGCCATGTGCACATGCTTGGGCAGTATTAAAATACAAATGCATTTATCACATTGAGTATTCCTCAATGTACTACACCAGAAAGTACCTATTGAAGACCTATGAAATTTTAATTTAGCCGGTTCCTGATGAAA